GTAAAGTCACGTAGAAGGGAAATAATAAAATAATATAAATAAAACATAATAAAATAAAACTTCTCACGACGTTTCGGCCACAACACAAGCAGCCGTCCTCAGGTGAAGAAACAGAGTTGTCGGAAAGACAGCGTCCCAATGAACACCGCCAAGCTTGGCAGCGTATATTTAAGCTGGGTCGGGGGAGGAGAGTGCCTTGACAAAGGAGTTTACATATCAACAGCGGAATTAAGCATATTGATGGCAAATGCAGATATGGGATTAGTCACTTGTTGTGGAATGTGTAGTAGGTGGTGGGGGGCTTTCAAAGTCATATTATGCTAGTATATTATGTAGGATTAGCAGTGATAAAGGGAGGGAAATTGTAATCGTAAGGAGCTGCCGCAGCCAAACCACCGTGTATCAAGCTCGTGCATTATGTGGGCAACAAAAAAGGGGGGAGTTTCTAAAGAACTGCAAATGCACTGCGAATATATGCACCATTTATACTGGTAGGAACCACCTGGTACCACCAGCCCACAGGGGATTATTGTGTCCGTCCGTCGTGCATCCAAAAATGGGAGGTGTGGGGTTGGGTGAAGATGGGAGGGTGAGGAAGGGCTGGGTGGAGGTGGAAGTGGTGGTACTGGGTGGGGAGGGGCTGGTCACCCCGTAGTGCCCTTATAAAACTCAACGTTTAACCTACTCATGCCGGCTTATGCCCGCTCTCACAGTCGGCCATATTTGCGGAATACACCACGCCGCCGTTGACCCTTGCCATTGACCGAGCAACCCAACGTTCCTACCAGCTCCCTCCACAGGAATGTTTAGTAACACAAGCACACTGGTTACGTTAAGGACAGCAAAAGCTAACCCAACTATGCGTCAAACATTACTTGAATGTGTATGTATCTACCATCTACCTCTCTGGCATCTCTAAAAACATCTGCAGAAGCGAGAACGGCCCAAGATCACGTGTCTCCATACTCTTTGGTTCTTTTGGTAAAGTCACGTAGGTGAAAATAATAATAAAATAATAAAAAAGCGAAAACAACTGAATTAAATCACGACGTTTCGGGCGCAACACAAACGTCCGTCATCAGGTGGGGACCACCACAGCGAAAACAGTTGCTGAGGTATGCCAAAGAGATGGCTTTGACAAGGGTTTATATAGCTGAGGAGTCCAGCCTTGAAATTCGTTCTCCCGGGGCGCTTCCGCCGACTGAGTGAACGGACAGGGATTGGCTAAAGGTAAAAAAAGGACAAGAAGGTTCGAGAATGGGGGTTGAGGGATATGTAAGGAGAGAGCACAAGGAGTGGAGACGTTCGGAGGAAGACACAAGCTGGAAGACAAGCACGAAGTCTCGGGTCCCTTATTGTGGAAGTCTTTAAATAAATGTCTCTTTGAGTCGTTACACATACATACGTAATTGCCAAAAACACATTCCTGCGGAGGGAGCTGGTAGGAACGTTGGGTTGTTCGGTCAATGGCCAGGGTCAACGACGGCGTGGTGTATTCCGCAGATATGCCCGACTGTGAGGGTGGGCCCAAGCCGGCGTGAGTAGGTTACACGTTGAGTCTTTATAAGGGCACCACGGGGTGACTAGCCCCTCCCCACCCAGCCCCACCCCTCCCACCCCCCACCCAGCTCCACCCTCCCCACCCAGCCCCTCCCCACCCTCCCCACCCAGCCACTCCCCACCATCCTCACCCAGCTCCTCCCCACCCTCCCCTCCCCACCCAGCCCTTCCCTCCCCACCCGGCCCCTCCCCACCCTCCCCTCCCCACCCAGCCCTTCCCTCCCCACCCAGCCCCTCCCTGCACGACGGACACAATAATCCCCTGTGGGCTGGTGTAACCAGGAAGTTCCTACCAGTATAATGGAGTATTGCTAGGGATAGCAAAAGCTAACCCAAGCATTCGTTAAACATAACTGAATGTTTATGCACATACTATCGACCTCTCTAGTATCGATATTTACGCACTCTCTATAAAGTAAGAAAAAAAACATTTGCAAAACATCTGCAGAAGCAGATTTCTAAAGTTAAAACTCAACAGCTAACAGTGCAAGCGAACTGGCCCCAGGTGACCACCCCAGGTCTTGTGGCCACATGGAGAGTGGCGAGTATGGCCAGCAAATAAAATTGTCATTAACCCTATTTATTCGCCTCCGCTTATTAAACTTTTACTTACTTTAGTAAATTGAGTCTTAAAATGTATTTAAACATAATTATTGTTTATGCTGAGTGTTTGCTGCTGCTTCTGTGTCCTGTCCAGGGCTTTGTGATCCTTGATGAAAATCTGCTATATAAATGGAATAAAATTTTGACTTTAAACTTTCGTGACTGCAGGAATTCATATTCTTGGTTCTTTCAATAAAGTCACTTAAATAGAAAATTTTCAAAATAAAATATAAAGAATAAGATACATTTTAAATAAAATTAAAACAATAAATTGAAAATAATAAGAAAAGGGGTGGGGCAGTGGGTGGGAGGGAATTGCACCTCGCTACACCCATCCACACTGCTGACGGTAGAGGTTGACAAGATAACACAAATTCAAGACATGACCCAAAGTGGTTGATGACATATTTCCAATGATTGCTGAGTTTAAAACCGTCGTCTCGGTTGAAATTGTGTCTGTTTTTATGGATGGACTATGGTGAACCAATCTTTGTTGATAGCCAGTCGGCTTGCACAGTACCATCGTCTTAGAGAAATCAATTTCATGTGAGCCAGCCGCATTAAAGTAATGATCAGCTACGGCAGCTACGGCAGAAGTATTGGTCCTGCCGTGTTTCAGATCTATCTCTGCCCCACCCCTTCTCTCTCCCCCCGTCTCTTGCGCAGCCCTTTCCACCGCCCACTCACTCTGGAGCCCTTATCAGCAGTTACATTTGGAGGCTTGCCCCCTTTTTTCTCTCCACCTGATGAAGACCGCTTGTGTTGCGATCGAAACGTCGTGGGTTTTCTGCTTTTATTATTTTCAATTCATGATTGAAATTTTTTAATTTTTATTTAATTTTATTTTCATTTTTTTTTCTATTTACGTGACTTTACCGAAAGAACCACGAATATAAATGGAATTGTTACGATTATCCACTGCCAACACACAATGCACCGCAGCAGGAGGAAGCCGTCCTCTGCTGACTCACCGCCGTGTTTTGCTTAGCGAATTGACCACAGAGAGGTGATGTGGGGACGTTGTACTGCGCTATGTCCCTCACAAGGGCCCGTAATCATGTCACGTCGCTTTTTTTGTATTGCAATCTAACTCCGGGCATAACACTAAATAATCGTCGTCATCATCGTTGTGGAGAATATACCGTAAATAATATACCGGACAGGCAGACAATACATCGGTATCATTCACACATATCCATCTCCACATATAATAATATAAAAGACACGGACATCCAGGCACCGGGGTTCCAACCCAGGCTCTGAGAGGTGTTGGCTCAGTGTCTCTGCGAGGGCCAATACGTTCCTCTTGAGACATGCCCACAGCACCTCGTCGTTTATTGTGAAAATTCCGTCACAGTTCCTATGATCACTGTTTCATTGCTTTCATGGCTTTATTTTGGTGATTTCGAAAAGTTTTTTGGTTTGGCCATGTTTGTTTGTTGTAGTACGGAGTAAGACTGATGGCTTTAATCTAAGTTGTCTTGTGGTTGTTGTTGTTGTTTGACTTGCATCCCACTGGGATTTTTGCACACAGCGTTGGTGTACGGTGTTTTTTCTGCAACATCTTGCTGTATTTTCTTGGATTTTCTGTTTGCACATAGTCACATATTCACTTTAAGATGTTTTCTTGTTCATGTTTTTATTTTTTGTTTGTTGCGGTTGCACCCGATTCAAGAACCGAATGGCTCACAGGGCTATACCTAATAAATGAACTTGAACTTGAACCTGACTTGTACCTCAAATGTCCCGACACGGGAATGATCTCACCGACAAGACACGCGCAGCACCACGACTCGAGCCTCGGCTCAAAGACGTGTCGAGTCAGTGGCCTGGCAGGGGCATTCGTTCATTCGTTAAGGAGTCACCCAGGCGCCTTGTCCGTCGATCATCCCTGGCTGTGACCACGTGGGGTCGCAGCAGCCACGCAGCACGCACATTTGCCCGTGCATGTTGTGTGTATGCATGTTGTGTGTATGGATGTTGTGCATGTATATATGTTGTGCATGTATATATGTTGTGTATGTGTGAATGCTGTGTAGGGGCCGTCCATAAATGACGTCACGCGATTTTGGACGATTTCTTACCACCCCCCCCCCTAGTCACACGGCGTCACAAAAAGTCAGACCCCCCCCCCTCAAATATGACGTCACAAAGCTCTGCCCCTCCCCCCCAAAAATAAAACATGCGTCAAATCGCTTTAAACTATTGCCATTGTAGTGCGTATTTAATGTGGCGCTGCACTTCGATGTTGTAGGAGAAAGCATTTATTAAAAAGTCTATTTCATTAACTAGAACGTGTTGTCTATATTTATTTAAAGTTGCGCATTTTGATGTGACGTCACCTTTCTCAACCCCCCCCCACCTCCCCGTTGTCACATCGTCACAAATGTCTAACCCCCCCCTAGGTTCGTGACGTCATTTATGGACGGCCGCGTATGTATGTATGGATGTTGTGTATGTATTATGTTTGGAATGTATGCTATCTATGCATGTTGTGTACTTATGTATGGATGTTGTCTATGTACGTATGTTGTGTATGTATGGATGTTGAACTTCTTTCGCACCGTACGGAGCCAACCGCGCTTATTGGAGGTGCGCGGGTGCAGGGGGGACAACAAACTGACACACAACCTGCGGGTGCGAAAGAAATTAGATTGTTAATCTCGACGATTTCTAAGTGCCACAGCTCCAGTGGTGTCCTCATATCGGCAGGTGGCGGTGTCTTTTCCCAAAGACGTCGGCCGGTCCATGGCCTTCCTTCTACTGAGATATACCTATGATTGCGGACAAGTTTGCTGCAATAACGTGCTCGAGATGAAATGGCGTTGATGCGTTAATTGGCTTCAAGTGTTTATTTGTGATCTCAAATCTGAGCCGATACACACGCGATAATTGCATGGTGGGTTCGTAATTTCATTCACGCGGTAAGTTCAGGGTGCTTAACTATGTTTACCACTTATAGGGGATTATCGTTTTTAATGGTAAAATAACGGATAATACACTGCAACATGATAACACATGTAATGTTAATAGCTTCAAAAAGTCAAACAGTCTCCACTTGTTCGCCACCATTATCAACATATTCCTGGAATCTTCTCCAGGTGGTCTCCAGAGCCCGGAGGCACAACATTTCTTGTGGTATTCTTGCAAATTATCGGAAGTGTTAACATTTATTTGAAGTACCCTGTATTTGGTGCATTCGTAATTTCATTCACCAATCCGGGTACGCCCCCCCCAACCCCCCCCCCCCCCCCCCTGAGCTACTTGGGGCCATAAACCGTGTTTTGTTTATCCCCCCCCATAGCTGCTGCTACTCTGATGATAATTTACATTTGTTAAAGTGGCGCATTTCATCCGTAGATCCCAACAATGCGCCACCGCCGTGCATGGAAAGCCATTGAATAAACAGAACCTGCAAGTTAAACGGCCAGAACTAGGCGGGGGAGGGGGGTAGATGCCAGTTTAAAGAGGGTAAATTCTCAAGACAGATGTAAACACCTTTACCGCCTCTGATTGAATTATTACCAAACGGCAACGCGTTCCGTCATCTACCCACCCACCCTCACCCCCACCCCCAGGGTTACACATCCACCCATCCATCCACCCTCACCACCACCCTCGGGCGAGACATCCACCCATCCATCCACCCTCACCACCACCCTCGGGCGAGACATCCACACATCCACCCTCGCCCTCGCCGCCCGGGGCTAGACATTCTCAACCTTGATCTTCGAGAAGCACAGCGCGCACGACTCGCACACCGGGTCGAGGCAGCAACGGATGCACGTGGCGCTGAACATCTGCAGGCAGATCATGTTCATGCGACACATGCGCAGGCACGGCGTCACGTTCCACACGTGGGAAAACTGCGCGCACGCGAAGTCGCAGCCCCAGCAGCACGACAGCGGCACGGCGCACAGCACGGAGAGCAGCAGGTAGCAGAACCACTTGGTGCCGTTGTAGGTCCTGAAGGCGCACCTCCACACGCCGGGGATGCTGTGCGAACCCTCCGGCTCGGCGAACACGTCCTCGAAGAGCACCTGCCGCGTGGCCACGTGGACACGGACACAGAGAGAGAGAGATTATGACAAAGAGACGTCCAAAAATAAATGGGACCCGGTGAAGAAGAATCTTTGGGTGCTGCCGAATATGGGGATTTGATGCCAACCGAGAGCGTAAATAAGCAATGAAGTGTACACATGAGAGGTACTAAAATATTTTAAGACATTTTTTTTTCTCATTTGCAATTTCCCCACCGGCCCGCGGGTGAACCGGGATTCTCAATTGGAAAGTACAGATATTTTAAAGAAACCAAACCGTTTTAACATAAATGTACACATTTGTATTCTCAACGATTGTGTTTAGAACACAGTAACCGAGAACACTCGGAAGAAATAGTTTTTTAATATTCAATACATTTTTATATCGTTCATTTTACATTCGAGAAATTCTTCCTACCCAGTTTATCTCGTAGGCTTTCGCGACAAATCTGGCTGTCGCCTGATGAAGCTAGTTGTAATTACTGGTGAAGCGTCGTACACAGATTGTAAATGTTGTGGATTTGCTCTCCAACACACCGGTGTGCTGTATTAGTAACGAATTGCCGTGTTCTGTTTACGTGACAAACCTTACTAATTGGCTGTGGCGGATTGTGGCGGGTTTAACGACGCATTTATATTTATGCTATCTTACCCAAAGAAACCTATATTATCGATTCTTCCTACTCATTGGCATTGAGCGGCAAACTGAGTTCCATTCCTGGCCAGGGGCTATAATCAGCGGCCGAGTGATATCTGAACTGCTCCTCGCCCCGTCTCTTAACCAACCCGCACTGACCAAAGTGATGAAGTATGGTCAATCAACGGCCACGAATGACAAGGCGGAGGGCCTTCATCTAGCATTGGATTTATGAAAGCCTCCACATTATTATCATCTAGCGCAAGTGTTCACTCATTTTCAGAGGGGGGCCGCTTTTGCCGATGAAACATCATCATTGTGAGGGCCGCTACACATTTGAAACCATTGGGGGTTTGACAGCAGCACGATGTGTCCTTGCAATGAAATTCACTGATCTCAGTGTGTGTGCGTATACACCTCACAAATTTAGCATTCTCAGGAAGAACGTAATCAACCAGGTAGGGTGTTGACTGTTATGTGAACCTCAGGGGACGGCAAACAAAAGAACAAGTAGAGGCATCTTTTTCGAAAAAAAAAAAAACCTCAATAAATATCAAGAGCCACAATGCACGTGGTGAATACGATAGACGGTGGCTCCTTAATAAATATGAAGCAGTCCTCTCGAGAGCCGAATGCGGCTCCTGAGCCGTTGGCTGCCCCCATGGTCTATACGCACACGAAACTACCGCACGTACGCAGTTGCTAAACTCCGTCCTGTCTCCAAACACAAACAAACAATGTTTTGAGCGGCATCTTGGCTTTCCGGACCCAAACATTATCCGGACAGGATCTGTTGATGGGTCGGGCAAACTCTGAACCGGTTTCGATTTTCAGGATCTCATCAGAAGCGGATTCAGACCTGTTAATCCCATTATATTCTCGCGTACGGCAATTGTTTTCTGAGCTCAATGCCAATGTCGAGGTCTGCTGGCCCACGAAGAGAGGGCTTCCGAAGTTAAGCGTTCGAGTAGTTTTGCTGTTTCTCCTCCGTTGAAGGAATACTATTGGCAAGAGCATTCCATCTAAACTATGGGGGCCATGTTAATACCCAAACAAGTATAATGCAATGCTGGATACTAACTTGTTATCTGTTGTGGAGCATTATATGGGTACTTTCGTATAACATACGAACTGAACTCGGCTTCTGCGTCTCCACGTGTATGTTTGTATGTTGAACTTCTTTCGCACCGTACATAACCAACCGTGCTAATCGGAGGTGCGACGGAAGGACAACAAACTAAATACTAAAATCAGTTCTAAGGAAATGAGCTTTTAATTTCCATTATTTAAAAGTGCATAGTTCCAGTGGCTGCTCAATATCGGAATGGGAGAGCGTTCCAGACGGGCGCAGAAGCGCGTCCGAAAGCGCGCGATGCGGTGACAGCCTTTGTTCGCGGCGAGCCAAAAGCGACCTTTGGTGTGCGCAATGCGTGTGTGGTACTCACTCGAACGTGCTCGTTGATGTTGACGGGGTCTCGGTTCTCCATATCCAGGGTGTCCACCGAGGGCAAGTGCTTGGGCATGGCTATCTATTTATTGTGTTCTCTGCCGTGTGCGCGTGAATCTCTCTCTTCCTGTCTCTCTCGCCCGAGTGAAATCCAACTCTCGCCTCGTTGTGAACGCGTCTCGGCCCTTTTAAAGTTCGTGTATCCCCTGGAGACCACGATGCTTTCCTGGTGGGTGTCGTACTCACAGCGTCCATTCACATCCATTCATTCACTCGCTTTCGCGAGGGCGGAGCGGCAACTGTTGCGGCAACACCTCCCCTTCTCTGCGCGGCTGCTGTGCCTATAGCGACCCCGCTGTTTGGCGCCGCTGTCGTGGGGTGGTGGGTTCGGTTTTTTGTTTTGTTGAAGCCCACGCTGGAGGTCGAGAGAGATATCCCGTGCGCAAGATCGGCGAGATCCGCCTGGCGACAGTTCCACATTCACATGGTTCTCTCCCTCTCTCCCTCGCTGTACTATTCGCAAACGCCCTGTTGGGTATGATCACCATGCGTCATGGGGCATGATCATCATGCCATCATCATGCCATGGGGCACGATGGTCATCATGCGAACTCCGGTCACCATGGCAGCAGCGAATTTTGGCTGGCCTTCGAACAAAGACGACGGTCACCTCATTGCTCGACGCTTTCAGATGCGCCGCTTTTGTGGCCGTCTGGAACGCTCTTCCTTCCGATTTTAGGTAGCCACTGGGAGCTGTGCACTTTTAAATAATCGAGACTGTCAAACTGTTTTCTTTGGAACTGCTGCTTGTGTTTAGTTTGTTATCTTTCCCCCGCACCTCCGATTAGCACGGTTGGCAACGTACGGTGTGAAAGAAATTCAACATGCATACATGACATGAGTGTGCCGTGTCTTCAGCCAGGAGGCTCAGCGGTATAAGAGCGAGTCGGCTCGCAATCGGAATGTTGCGAGTTTAAGTCCTGGTTGCGGGGTTGCTCAGCCCATCATCGTTCTGGGGTCGATAAGGTTGGTACCACTTCGTAAGGAAAGTTGTCGACAGTGGTGGTTCTGTACACAGACTCGCACGCTTACACATAAAACAGTCAGTTATAGCCTTACAGTGTATGCACACGTGCGTGTAATGCATGTAACTACTGTTGTGTAACCATAGGCAATAACATTTCAACGCATCGATAGGAATGGTTCTTTTGCTGTACGATCCACAAAGGCCCCGTGGCCTTAGTGGCAAAAATGTACTGAGCCAGGCGGCTCAGCGGTGGAGCGAGCTGCTCACATTCGGAATGAAGCGAGTTCAAATCCGGGTTGTGAAGTTGACTCTGCCCATCATCCCTCCCGGGTCGATAGAGATTAGTAACCACTTTGTAAGGGAAGTCTCGTCTCCACTATAGAAGTATCAACATTCCAACACTGGCTCATTAGCCTCCAGCATCTTCTGATGTGTTTTTTTTTATCAAGTAACTTGTAATTTTGGGGGTAATGTTGCTGCTGTTGCTGCTAGTGCTGCTGATGATGATACAAGGAATCCTCAGAGAGTCACGTGGCTTTAAAGAGGCACCTGCATCGGAATGATTGGCAGATACCATCAATGCGTGTGACTCAGGGCCAAGTCGCACACGCGAGACGGAGGTAACAGTCAAACGCTCCGCACAGATAGTCTCAATAATCCATTGTTGCTCTGCCATCTCCTGGCCATATTGGTGACGACACCTTTGCTGCTGCTGCTGATGATGATGATGCTGAGTATGTACCTCATGTGTGCTGAACTTCTTTCGCACCGCACGTAGCCAACCGCGCTACTCGGAAGTGCGGGGGGTGGGGGACGAAGACAACAAACTAAAGTGAGTGACCGTGTCATGAGTCAGGCTGTGGCGTGAACAGTAACTCTCACGTTACTGGCAGGGGGCGGCCTCGGGGGGGGGGGGGGGGACAACGATAAACTTGACTCGCTGTCGTCCGTCACATCGGCGCCCAGGACAATGGCATTCTCAGAGCGAAATGTGACACTGCGGCTGACTCCCGCACTGGGGATGACAACAAGCCCCGCCAGCGTCGCAGATCGCCCCGGGGCCGTGACGTGCGCCACTCGTTGCAGAGGCACTCCGCGGTTCGAATTCCAGCGGCCGCCCTGGTTATGCACGTGTTTATGTATGTGTTGAACTTGTGTGTGTATGTACAGTGAGGGAAAAAGTATTTGATCCCCTGCTGATTTTGTACGTTTTCCCACTGACAAAGAAATGATCAGTCTATAATTTTAATGGTAGGTTTACTTGAACAGTGAGAGACAGAATAGCAACAACAAAATCCAGAAAAACGCATGTCAAAAATGTTATAAATTGATTTGCATTTTAATGAGGGAAATAAGTATTTGACCCCTCTGCAAAACATGACTTAGTACTTGGTGGCAAAACCCTTGTTGGCAATTACAGAGGTCAGACGTTTCTTGTAGTTGGCCACCAGGTTTGCACACATCTCAAGAGGGATTTTGTCCCACTCCTCTTTGCAGATATTCTCCAAGTCATTAAGTTTTCGAGGCTGACGTTTGGCAACTCGAACCTTCAGCTCCCTCCACAGATTTTTTATGGGATTAAGGTTTGGAGACTGGTTAGGCCACTCCAGGTCCTTAATGTGCTTCTTCTTGAGCCACTCCTTTGTTGCCTTGGCCGTGTGTTTTGGGTCATTGTCATGCTGGAATACCCATCCACGACCCATTTTCAATGCCCTGGCTGAGGGAAGGAGGTTCTCACCCAAGATTTTACGGTACATGGCCCCGTCCATCGTCCCTTTGATGCGGTGAAGTTGTCCTGTCCCCTTAGCAGAAAAAACACCCCCAAAGCATAATGTTTCCACCTCCATGTTTGACGGTGGGGATGGTGTTCTTGGGGTCATAGGCAGCATTCCTCCTCCTCCAAACACGGCGAGTTGAGTTGATGCCAAAGAGCTCCATTTTGGTCTCATCTGACAACAACACTTTCACCCAGTTGTCCTCTGAATCATTCAGATGTTCATTGGCAAACTTCAGACGGGCATGTATATGTGCTTTCTTGAGCAGGGGGACCTTGCGGGCGCTGCAGGATTTCAGTCTTTCACGGCGTAGTGTGTTACCAACTGTTTTCTTGGTGACTATGGTCCCAGCTGCCTTGAGATCATTGACAAGATCCTCCCGTGTAGTTCTGGGCTGATTACTCACCGTTCTCATGATCATTGCAACTCCACGAGGTGAGATCTTGCATGGAGCCCCAGGCCTAGGGAGATGGACAGTTCTTTTATGTTTCTTCCATTGGCGAATAATCGCACCAACTGTTGTCACCTTCTCACCAAGCTGCTTGGCGATGGTCTTGTAGCCCATTCCAGCCTTGTGAAGGTCTACAATCTTGTCCCTGACATCCTTGGAGAGCTCTTTGGTCTTGGCCATGGTGGAGAGTTTGGAATCTGATTGATTGATTACTTCTGTGAACAGGTGTCTTTTATACAGGTTACAAGCTGAGATTAGGAGCACTTCCTTTAAGAGTGCGCTCCTAATCTCAGCTCGTTACCTGTATAAAAGACACCTGAGAGCCAGAAATCTTTTTGATTGAGAGGGGGTCAAATACTTATTTCCCTCATTAATTTGCAAATCATTTTATAACATTTTTGACATGCGTTTTTCTGGATTTTGTTGTTGTTATTCTCTCTCACTGTTCAAATAAACCTACCATTAAAATTATAGACTGATCATTTTTTCGTCAGTGGGCAAAAGTACAAAATCAGCAGGGGATCAAATACTTTTTTCCCTCACTGTATGTATGTGTTGAACTTGTGTGTGTATGTTTAACACGTAGGTTTTTGTGACCAATATTATTCATAATAAAGGTTTTTGGGTTAGATCGCGTTGTTTATAAATGTGTCGCAACCCTCCACCACCCGACACGGCCAATAAGTAAAAAATGTGTCACGTTGACAAAAGACAAATATCGATTTAAAGCTTCCGTGACTGCAGGGATTCATCTTCTTGGTTCTTTCGGTAAAGTCACGTAGAAGGGAAGTAATAAAATAATAAAAATAAAACACATTATTTTATTGTGTTTTATTTTTATTATTTTATTACTTCCCTTCTACATGACTTTACCGAAAGAACCAAGAATATGAAAAGACAAATAGTTCACTACTTTAGCCCATCGGTGTGTTTGAAGAGTGATTCCACAACATTTACAATTTTTGAGTAGCACGACATTTCGATGGTAATTACATCAACCAGCATCATCGGGCGATTTGCCAGAAGAGTGAAGCCCTCCACCTGTTCCCGGTCTTAAATTGAGCAGCAGGGTGACGTCATCATTTAACCCAATCAGGTGCAGAGATCAGAGGCAGTGAGGGGGGAGTATTGTAATTATATAATAGAATAGTAATCAGTTAATTGTTATAATTAGTAATCAGTTGTAGATTAGTAATTATTTGTAATGTGTATTATTTAATAACTGAACCCAATCACTATACCCAATCAGGTGCAGAAATCAGAGGTGGCGGAGGGGGTGATTATTGTAATTATAGACTACGTTAGTAATCAGTCAATTAGTATGTGTTTCCCCTATAAGGAATTGTAATATGTATTATTTGATAATACGCTTCCAAGCCGCACTAAACTTTTAGCTGTCAGAGCGATTACAGTTATTTGTATTTCTCTCAATTTCAACGGATTCTCTAATTAGTCTTGGCCAGTAATTATTAATTTTACACAACACTTCAACGTTATTAAAATAAATTGAGTGGCCTTGTTGGCAAGCATGTTCTACCACTGCCGACAGTTGTGTTTGAGATAATTTAATATTTATTTGGTGTTCTTTTAGTATTACGCTGATGTTACGTCCTGTCTGTCCAATATAGCACCTGCCACATGAGCAATTCATCCAATATACACCTTCTGTGGATAATTTAGGTAATTCATCTTTAGTACAAGATACTAGTTTTTGAATGTTGTGTTATGTACCAATTCTTACTTTAATGTTTTGCTTTTGCAAAACACGGGATAATTTGTCAGTTACTCCTGAGATATATGGTATTTTAATTGTTTTAATAATCTGATTACTTTAAGCAGTATTACTTTGCGATCGTGATTTGGCATTCAGTGCTCTGTTAATTTGAGCTTTATTGTAGACATTCTGTCGTAGTGCTTCTTTAACATGTTTAATCTCTCTCCCTAGACTTTCACCATCTGACCCTGTTTTAGCCCGATTGTATGAGCGTCTTGATAAG